TGGGTATAATTTAATTTATTTATGGTACAACATGCTATCAAATTTTGGTGTCATTACTAAGGAGTTACATTTGATCAAGTATTTTTCTTCTTCTAGATGATTTTATTTATTTTATTTTCTTAATATGACTTTGTATTCTCAACAATTTGGCTCTCAATATGACTTACAATTCAAGAGATTTAAAGAGGTAAACTTATTTTCTATTAAGTAATAGATTATTAATCTAACCTCTCTAGTGTGTTAAATGGCTACAAAAAATACACAATAAGTCCATAATTATGACATATGTTCGATACCGGGACACTTATTAGATAAGCGTCCAATGCTTTAAGAAGAACCTATTAGTGTGTATTATGCCATAAGGGTATTTTCGAACGAGCACAATACCAATATGACCCCTACTCTAGCACTTGCACTAGTTATGAGAATCAAATAGTTGACGATGCAACTCACAATTGTCAAGGATATCAACATATGCAACCACCATTCCAAGCTAGATAATAAGTTGCTCCAAATTTAGGAATATCTCTTAAGGATATCATTAATTCTTTTGTGATTGATACTATACAATTTTAGTAAGAAACAAGAGCCGACCTTTGAATTTTAAAGGTTTAAGTATGCCAATTGGCTACACTAATAGGTGGGGTAGTAGCATGAGTAATAAGTAATTTTCCCTCCGAATTAAAAATAAGTTTGAAAAAACATTCAAGTGTAGTAAGTGAGGGAGAGGATGTGTTTGAAGAATAGCAAGTTGCTAAAACTCGTCAAAATAAAGCCAACTTATAATGAAGAGCAAAATAAGATTGTGTTTATCGATGAACTAGTCAAGCAAGAAAATGACATTGAGCAAATGGACTTTGAAAATATTTGTGACATACTCATTATTGAATTTATCCTTCCAAATGAGTTTAATGATGATGTTAACAAAATTGAGTTTTTCTTGCCATTATTGCTTCCTATTTTGCGTGTCTTATTCATGATGTTATCACTTTTGATTCTTCATTATTTCAAGATTTGAGAAACGACTTTTTCAAATGATATAAAAGTGATATGTCATTTAGGATTGAAATCAAGGAGCCATCTATGAGAAATGCTTGGAAATGCACCTTGGGTGCCAAGCATGACATGACCAAATTTGTTATGATGATCGAACAATACCAACGTTGAGCTAACAATGTTAAATAAAAGCACTTATTCGGAGGTAACCTAATAAATGTAGTTCAAATTTTTCTATTTTATTGTCTTAGTTGGTGTTTAAATTAGTTTTATTTTTATTTTTCTCCAAATTTCCTCCATGCTTGACTTGATTTTGAGAATGTTTGCGGTATAGGTGTTCTTTGGTTTTGAACAAGAAGGAAAAGAGAAGCCACATGGGCAAGTGGCATGAGGAACAACTTGTGCATGTTAAAAAGCATCCCTATGTGTTTGAACTTTGGTCGAAAGCTCAAAACAAGAAGAGATGAAGCATAAGGAGTTAGGTATGAACACGGGTTGCCCTTAAAAAAGACACACCCGTGTGACTCCGAGTTGTGTTGCACTTCGAAGCCAAAAGAGAAGAAGCATGGGTAATAGCTTTAGAGATGGGTTATGTACTCATTTCAGCATGTCCCCATGTCCCATGCCGAGCATTTCAACTTTTAAGGCAACACGGTGATATAGGTAGTAGGAATCCACACAGCTTGCAAGAGAAAATCCACATAGCTGTGTGAATTATAAGCCATTATAATAAGAAAATGAGGAAAGGAGACACAACCAAGATAGCAATACATGGGTTATGCTCGCATAAGAGGCACAAGCGTGTGTCTCTAACTACCCTTCCATCCACCACCCTCATTTGTGTGCTACAATCCAGATTTGATCACTTACCCTTACTCTTTACATCTCATTTGTCTATGATCAATTCTATGTTTACATTGAGGATAATGTAAAATTTAAGTGTGAGGGAGGGATTTAGGATCTGTTTGTATGTTTGTATTTAATTTTTGTGGTTTATTTTTACTTTATTTATCTAAAAAAAAAAAGATGATGAAATGAATTCCATGGTTTAGTATGATATCCTTCTTGATTGATGATTGATGTAGAGTTTTAACAAAATTTTATGAGATAGTTGAGATTGTTTTAAATAGTATTGTTATAGAAGTGCATGTATGCTAGAAAACTTTATATCTTTATGATTGAGCATGATTTAGGTAGAAATACTAATCTTACAAGTACCCTTTGAAACTAGACCTAAGCATGGTTTAAATAAATGAGATTTTTTAATTATTATAGAAATTTGAAAAATAAAGGAAAAATAAAGCATTCAAATTGGAAATTTTGCTCGATTAATAAAAATCTACTCCAATGATTTGAGTTACTTTGTAACTAGGAGTATTCATCATAAATATTTATTTTTATATCAAATGGTAATTTATGAGTATGCAAAGCACTCTAAATTTATGATATGCTAAGCAACCGGTTGCTTTCATAACAAATATCGATATTCGCATAAAAAGACAAGTGATTACTTAGGAAAGAACAATTAAAGGACTTGAAAAAGTTTGACATGCTAAGTAACCGGTTGCCTTCATCATAAATATTGATAGTTGCATAAAAAGACAAGTGATTACTTAGGAAAGAATAATTAATGGACTTGAAAAAGATTAAGATGCTAAAGGAAGAAAAATTTTGATAAAAAAAAAAAAAATCTTAATTTGTTACTTTTGCTTGTAGTGGTGAAAAATCTCAAACTATTAAAGGCATAAAGGCAAAAGCTAAGGACGTGGGATGAAGAGATAAAATCACGTGGGTAGTAGCTAGGGACACGAGATGAAGCAATAAAAGGTATGAGATGAAATGCAAATGGTACACGATCGTTTGCCTAAGTCAAGCAAGTCGTATGTCCACGTAGGGCTACAATGTCCGTATTGTAATCCTACCTTTTGCTATAAATAGAAAAATTAGGATTTCACTTTATTCATTCTCTCATTCTAGGGAAAACTATCTCTCTTTTTGGCGACCACCCTAAATAGGAAATCCTCTCTTGTAATCAACAATGAGCCACTAAGAATTTATCATAGTTGAAAGAAAGTTGAAGCTTTTGGTAAAATCGTTGTGAGATCTTAATGGGTTATAATTCTAAACTCATTCTTTTTTAATATTTTATGTTTTTCTATGTTATTTGAATCTAATTGTTTGATTAATTGATTAGATAGCACGCTATTTACTAGATCATTATAGTATATGTTAGCTAAGTATTCAAGTCCATATAATTACTTGTCTAAACTAGCCTATGGTAGTAACTAAGGGCTAAAAATTCCAAATGCATTTTTATTTAATTCCTTGGAAAACAAAGAACTAGATTAAATTCTTCTAGCATCTAGAATGATAGTTTAGCTTCACCCTTCTTTCTCTAATCTAATGTTGTTATTGGATTAAATCTAGCTAGCGTCTACTAAGTTGTTCAATAGTTAAGGAATAATCAAATAACGTCTATTTAGTTAACAAAACATTAAGGAAAGATTGGAGATAACATACATGTTATTGTCCTACGGTGAATATTCATGTTAAGAATAGGTTAATGTTTGAATCAATGATCAACGATTAAATCAAAAGTAGATATCTTCAACCAAAACTTTCCTCATTATTGTTATTTCTATTTGCTTTTGATTGTTTTACAAATCTCCACAAATAAACCTCTCTTATTTTTGTTGCACTTCAAAACAATCAACCGATAGAAATCATTGATTAGACTAGTTTTCCTGTGAATTCGGCCCTTGCTTACCCTATCTACACCCCTATGGTTGGGTTCCATAAGGAATATAAATATAATCTAATTTTTTTGTGGAACGAACATGCCATCACATAACTCCAATTTTATTTAATAATTCATCTTTTAAATCTATATCTCATGATTCTAAACTCTACCCCAAACCAACTTCCAAGTCCATCCAGCATCACATCACATACATATCTAGAAATTCACACTATCTTTAGTTTCTACTAGTTTGAACAAAGCTAGAAAAAGCATCACGCAATGGCAAATTTCCAACCCAATTATATGTCTAACACAACTAATTTCTCACTTCCAATGTCGAGTCTGCATCCATTTCTAATAGCTGTTGAACATTGACTTGAACTTATGAATACCGGTCAAATATATCATCTCAATAAGTAAATAAATGACTAGAGAAGCATGGTAACGCATTAACAAAGTCCGAATTATACTTCTTCATAATAAAAGATTGCTAACTAGAAGCACTGTTACCACTTAACCTCCAAAGCCACTTGAAAAATAAAGCTTTATTTTCACCATAATTGATCTGAGAGCTAATCTCACATGACATTTGGATCGCTCAACCCCCTCTAAGCTACATTACAAGTTTATTATTATTATTATTATTATTATTAGAATGATCACTTCAAAGGAATCTACACCGGAGAGAAATCAAAACCTTAGCCACACCTTTCAGCATTTTAAGCATAAAAACATGGTAGACTGGAATAATCGACATGGCTAGTTTCAATAAACAAATATAACCTCCCAAACAGGGAAGCTTTCTTTTCCAACTTTGAAGTCTTTTTCGCACCTTGTAAAACTGTCTTTCAAGTGGTGATACTTCGCCCATAGTCCTCTTTGTTCATCTTTTGTTTTGTGGACTCCTTTCATAATAGATTAGATATCAATTGTATGCCCTCCATTGCTTTTTTTTTTTTTTTTTAACCACATTAAAAGTAAGTCCACATTAATCGATGAACAAATTCTCACAAAACTTGTCACCATCTGTAAAATAGCTTAATTTTGCTTCTATCAGTTTCTGAGATGATAACATATGTACATTTATTAAATTTGTTGCACTTAATATTTCAATCCACCAAAGCCTTATTGATTGCTGGTGGTTGAGCAAGATATTTCGTTGTTATATGATGAGGCTGACATTAAAAAATAAAAAATAGGGTGTTTTGTTTTGTATTTTTTATGTGGAAATTGTAATTTTTGGTGTTTATATTGCTTGAAAAGAATGGCTGCGATTCAGCGTTTCCAGACTTTATATAGCACTTATCCCAATGGTTAGATTCCCTTCTTCAGCAGCTAGTTTTTTTATTTTTTTTTAAGACATAAATGCTTTTAAAGCGTGTTTTTACAATTATAAAAGTTGTAATGGAAAACTTTTAATAATTTGAACCTTTTTTTTTTTCGAAAACTAGTGTTTGTTCACATAATCAAAATACATGATATTTCTGAAATAAAATTCAAATATTTAGTGTATAAAATGTAATTTATACAATCAGAGGGTGTAAACTGTTACCCTCAAAACACAATCTGTTTAATATATATATATTTTTTTTAAGAAAGGTCTTTTGCTATAAATAACTTAGTCATGTTATCGCGGGTAGCTGTCTGGGATTAATAGTTATGCCCCTAAGATTAAGCAATCGTCAAGCCATAGCACTTCTTCTTGTACTTTGGACTCATTAGCGTACTGTGAGAGGGGCGAGGACAAAGATATCATCTCTCTTCATACTTCATCTGATGGCTTTTTCTTACGCTGCTTTCTTTCTTTAGTAATTTGTATTTACAAACCTGTAAGTTCCCAGAAAAACCACTCAAACTTGATAAGTTTGGGTTCTTCACTTTCCACCAACGTCCGACCAACTTCATGGCGCTCACCTTCTGGCAGATTTGCCTTTGGGTTCTATTCACAGCGCAGCGGCTTTATAGTGGGAATTTGGTTGGCGGGTAAGCCAGATGATATAATCACCTGGACAGCAACCCGAGATGACCCTCCTGTGCCATCAAATGCTAAGCTAGAGTTAACCATAAACGGTAAGCTCCTTCTAAGAACATATGCGAACAATGGGGTCAGTGAAGAGAAACTCGTTGCTAATATAGAGGAGTCAGCTTCAAACGCTGTTTTGCTTGATTCTGGAAATTTAGTGCTCTACAATGAACATTCTGATGTAATTTGGGAGAGTTTCAACTTTCCTACAGATGCGATATTGGGAGGCCAGAATCTACATGCCGGGGGTGAACTGTTATCCAGAGCGTCTACAGCCAACTTGTCAACAGGAAGGTTTCATCTTAAAATGCAATATGATGGGAATCTTGTTTTGTATCCCACAAACACTCTAGACACTCCACTAGATTCTTATTGGAACACTGAAACTCCTGAGTCCGCTGGTTCCCATCTATATTTAAATTATACAGGAGACTTGTTACTTCTTAGCAACACCTCGGTCAGAGTTAAAACTGTGTTTGACTCTGATTCAGAATCTTACAGCACTTCAATTATCTACCGCGCAACATTGGAGTATGACGGAATTTTTCGATTGTATTCGCATAACTTCGACAGCAAAGGTGCCTACACTACATCTCTTACGCATTATGAACCAGATAGTCAGTGCGAAGTGAAGACTTTCTGCGGGCTCAACAGCTACTGCAACATGAACGACGATCAACCTTACTGCCGTTGTTTTCCTGGCACTGATTTTGTCGATCCCGACCAGATATATCATGGATGCGAGAGAAACTACCATGAAGAATTATGCAAAGTTGCAGAAGAAACATCGTTATATAGCATTACTGATATGGAGAAAATGACTTGGGATGACATTCCTTATTTTGAAAAATCCATGTCTGAAGAAGATTGCAGAAGGTCCTGTTTGCAGGACTGTAACTGTGCTGGTGCGTTGTATGAATCCGGGGACTGCAAGAAACAGAAGTTCCCAGTGAAATATGCTAGGAGAATGCCAGATGGTTCGTCAAAGCTTTTCTTCAAAGTGGGTTTGAAGAGTATCGAGAGCAGAAACCGATCCACTGCACCTGCATTGAAGCCTCCGGTGGTTCTAAAGACAAGCAAGAAGACGATGATGCTCATTTTTGTTATGAGCGTCGCCTTCACTGCATGCTCTTCTGTCGCCATTGCAATTTCTGGGTTTTTCATCTCTAAGTCGAGAGATGTTAAGAGACGAATGCTGGTACGAAGTGGAAATTTTGGCTTGGCCCATGAGCTCACTCTGAGAGCATTTTCATATCGTGAGCTTAAAAAGGCAACCAAGGGTTTCAAAGAGGAGTTGGGCAAGGGATCATTTGGAGCAGTTTACAAAGGGACTATATGCAAAGGTAAAAGAGTTATTGCAGTGAAGAGGCTGGAGAAGTTGATCAGTGAAGGTGAAAGGGAGTTCCTCACAGAGATGCGTTCAATTGGCAACACTCATCATAAGAACTTGGTTCGGCTACTTGGCTACTGTACTGAGGACTCCCAGAGGCTCCTAGTATATGAATACATGAGCAATGGATCGCTTGCAAATCTTCTCTTCCGAACTGAAAGATTTCCAGAATGGAGTGAGAGAGTAAAAATTGCTCTAGATATTGCAAGAGGCATCCTATATCTACATGAAGAGTGTGAAGCACCAATCATCCATTGCGATATAAAACCTCAAAGCATTCTAATGGATGAGTTTTGGAATGCTAAGATCTCTGATTTTGGGCTAGCAAAATTGTTAGGGCCAGATCAAACAAGAACCTTCGCGACAGTCAGAGGGACACGAGGTTACTTGGCACCTGAATGGCATAAGAACGCTCCTATATCAGTGAAGGCAGATGTTTACAGTTACGGAGTTGTGCTATTGGAACTTGTTTTCTGCAGGAAAAATATAGAAACTAACGTATCAAAACTAGGGGAAGTTGTACTTTCTAACTGGGCATACGAGCTTTTGGTTGCAAGAGAATTGGACAGGCTTAATCTTGGTGAAAATGTAGACTGGCAGAATCTGGAGAAGATGGTTATGGTAGGCATTTGGTGTATTCAAGATGAACCAGGTCTCCGTCCCTCAATGAAGTGTGTTGTGATGATGTTAGAAGGAATTACCGATGTGCCTGTTCCTCCACGTCCAACTGCAGCTTCAGCATAAGTTTCCATACAGGAAAACTGTTAATTGCTTTCTCTAGAATTCTGTTTCTTATAGTTGTAATAGCACTAGCAAAAACTCGGTTGGTTGTTTTTCAGGGGAGGGGAATTTATGGAAGCAGTGGTGTAAAGAACACGGTGACTTAGAATTGTAGTAGTACTAGTCTGAAGCATGTTTCTGTTTCCTCCAAATGCAAGATGTCTATTGGTTTGAATAATTATCCATGGCCACTCCATAGGAAGTATTAAAGCATGTTGCATACATAAATGGTATTTATTTCTTCTGAATTGGAGTAAATCGGAACTGATTTCCAGTTGAACATCTTTTCTTCCGCTTGGATGTCTGTTTTGATGACCATTTGATTTTATAACATTTTACTTGAACAGATCAAATTTCTTTGGAGAATCTTTATGATAAGTAAAATAGCAGTTGATGTTAAAGAATAATATAAATCATATCCTAGAGCTTCACCTAATAGCTTAAGTTTTTAGATGAGATGATCCTTTGACATAGTATCGGAGCTTTGATGATCAAACGGTCGTGAGTTTGAATCCTACTTTCTCCTTTATCGAATCCTACTTTCTTCATTTTTCTCCTTTAATTAATTAAGCATAAGGTAGTGTGAGTCTATGCAAATGGAGTGTGTTAGCATCTTTTCTTGGAAGGTTGCTTTTGGGTACTAATAAATGATGACGGTGAATTTGCTTAGTCAGGTGGGTCTAACACGTTTGTAGACTTTTGTGGAACACCACACTAGGTCACTCTAATAAAATGAGGGTAGCGGACAGGGAGATTATGCATTGGTTTAGACCTGAAAGAAGGGTCAAGGACCTGTGCTAACAAGTTCCTACCGGTCGCAAACAAATCATTCATTTCGTTTAAGTTTTGAAGTTACACCTATTTAATATTTAGTCAGTATCTCTCAAACAATATCTACCTTTTCTGTATCTGTTTTGCTCTTTCCACCCCACTCCTTGCCGCATGGCTTTGTTTTCAGGGCTTCTGCTTCTAATACTATTTCTACTCTCTGTGGAGTCAAGAACTCGACCAAACCAATTTGGTGACATACACTTAGGTTCTCAGTTATCTCCCATCTCTAGCTTACATTCATGGCTATCCCCTTCCGGCCAATTTGCATTTGGCTTCTATGCACAAGGAAATGGATTTGCCATAGGAATATGGCTCACCGGTCAACCTAAGAACACAGTTGTCTGGACTGCGAATCGAGATGAAGCACCAGTCTCCTCCAATGCTACAATTCACTTATCGGAAGAGGGTAGGCTGCTTCTTCGAACTGAGCAAGACTACGAAAATCTCATTGCTAACGTATCAGAAGTCGCAGATTCAGCTTCAATGCTTGATTCTGGTAATTTTGTGCTTTATAGTGGTTCTCAGGTTATTTGGAAAAGCTTTGATTTCCCAACTGACACCATATTAGTAGGTCAGAATCTTAGTTATTCTGATGAATTGATTTCAAGTGTATCCAGCTCAAATCACTCAAGTGGAAGGTTTCTCCTCCGGATGCAGACGGATGGAAACCTTGTCGCCTACCCTGTAAACAGCGCTGCTCTAGTTGATGATGCTTACTGGGCCAGCAATACTAACAAATACATGGGGTTGAATCTCTATCTCAATCACCAGGGATTTCTGTTCATGGATATGAACGGTTCTAAACCACTGTTATTGGCAAGAAGTGCTTACCCCTGTGAGAACAAAACAGCAATCTTTCGTGCAACACTTGATGCCGATGGGGTTTTTAGGTTGTATTCACACTGCTTGAAGAACAAAACAACCTGGAGTGTGCATATTGAGTGGTCTGCAAAGAATAATCTATGTGATGTCCGTGGCTTCTGTGACTTTAACAGTTACTGCTCTGCAATAGGCACTGACGCGGGCTGTTCCTGTTATCCTGGATTTGCTTTCAATGACCCCAATAAGAGATTCAGTGGATGCTACAAGAATGTCAGTGAAAGTTTTTGTACAGGCAGCGAAGAAGGGCAAATGTACGATGTCATAGCCATAGAGAATATATTGTTTGAACGGTATCCTTACTCTGTCCAAGAAGGAAAAAAGGAAAATTGTGGTTTGTTTTGCCTGGAAGATTGTCTTTGTGATGTTGCTCTGTTTATCAATGAGAAGTGTGAAAAGTATACTGCACCAATTCGATATGGTATAAAAGATAGAAACATATCATCTACAGCCTTCTTCAAGGTGAAAGCAAACCCAAGCCCTTCTCCTGCTGCACCTCCAATGAGCCCGACAATCATTATAGAAAGCAAGAAAAGTTTAATCGTGTTTCTTGCTATAATTTTTGGCTCCATTGCTTTCTTGTGTTTCATCATTGCAATCTCTACTTTCTTTGTGTACAGGGATCGAGCTTATCTATACGAAAAGCTATCGGGAGTCATAAGCTTGGCTGGAGAGTTTACTCTGCAGTCATTTTCTTATACTGAGCTTGAGAAAGCAACAGATAGTTTCAGGAAGAGTTGGGTAGGGGTTCAATTGGAGCAGTTTATAAAGGGAAAATACCTGGGGGTGAAAAAACTGTCGCTGCTAAGAGACTTGAGAAAGTTGTAGACGAAGAAGAAAAGAAGTTTCGAGCAGAAATAATTGTCATTGGACAAACTTACCACAGGAACTTGGTTCGATTGCATGGTTTTTGCATTGAGGGCTCTAGGAGGCTTCTCGTCTATGAGTACTGGAAGAATGGCACTCTTGCAGATCTTCTGTTCACGGCTGAGAGGCGCCCCACTTGGAAAGAAAGAGTGAGGATTGCTCTAGATGTAGCTAGAGGAATACTGTATCTACATGAAGAGTGTCAGGCCTGCATCATCCATTGCAATATAACCCCTCAAAACATTCTCATGGATGATGCTTGGGTAGCAAAAATCTCCGATTTCGGGTTGTCAAAGCTATTATATCCGGACAAAATAAGGAGCTCCATGGCCCTCCGCTCACAGAGTAGAGGGCACTTGGCACCTGAATGGCAGACTGATGCCTTGATATCAGCAAAAGCTGATATTTACAGCTTTGGAATTGTGCTACTGGAAATCATCTGTTGTAGCAGCAGTATAAAAGCCGACGTTTCAACAGCAGATGATCAAATGGTTCTTTCCAGTTGGGCATATCAATGCTTCGTAGCAGGACAGTTGGATGAGCTCGTGAAGGATGAACATATAGAATACGAGTCACTGGAAAGAATGGTGATGGTCGGGCTGTGGTGTGTTCAGCATGATTCGGCTTTACGTCCTTCTATCAAGAATGTGATCTTCATGCTAGAAGGGTCCAAGGATATTCCAGCTCCACCATCCTAACTCCACTCAGTATCACCCACTAGCTAGTCTACAAAATAAGTAATATTATGTTTGATGCAAAACTTTATATGTATGCAAACATGTATGTGTGTGTTAAATGGCTGTGGATTTGAGTGATCTGTAAGATTGTTTTAGCTGTTTCTCCATTTCTAATTTGACTTGTGAATTACCTTTAAAAAAAAAAAAAGATGTTCTCTGTTATTTTTTTCCAGGCATATAACATATTCTGCGCAAGTGTTAGATAATCCTGGAAATGCTTTAACCAGGAACTGCATTTGTACTGGAAATAGTCCTTCTATCAACAATGTTCGTGTTTTTCGATGACGAGAAAACCAACAAGAACTCTTGTCTTCAGGTGCAGATTTGGTAAACCCTGGGTAGGAGCATTACCCCCTCCGCACAGCTACTAGGCCGAACGAAATCAATATAATAATGGGGAATGTCAAGTGTTATGGTTTTCAAATATTATTATACTTTAGAATTTTGGGATGTATTTAGGAAGATAGAAAATGCTTGAATTCAAATGGCTGGTTTAGAATTTGTGATTTTTAGGCCTTGCACCAAAAAGATTTTCTTAATATATATATATATATATATATATATATATATCACTACTCCTCTACCACCACCACTTCTTTTTTCTTTTTTTCTTTTTTTAACTGACACTTTTTATAATGATGGAATCAATTTTCTTAAAACTAAAATGGTTTAAATATAGAATTTAAACCCATAATTTTTTATAAATACAAGAAACTCATTGTCACTTTATCATAAGCTTATAGGTTATTATTATTATAATCATTACTACTACTATAGTTTTAGTGTTTTACTAATCTGCTTTTCATGCTATGTTACAAGTCGGATAAAATAAATTTATTTTAGTTTGTTAGTCTCTACTATATTGTTAGTCAACTAAAATATATAAAATTAAAGATAAAAGAAAAAATTTCATCGAATTTCATAATTTTTAATCAAAATTTTGTATTTAATTTATTCTTTTTTGTGTTTTCCAAAAATTTTGTTGTTAAAAAATACGATCTATTCTTGCTTAGGCATTTATTCTTAAATAAAAATATGTAATAATTTAAATTGAAAATTTAAAAAAAAAACATCTTAATAATATCTTTCATAAGATTGCATCGAAGAAACCATAATAATAATAATAATATAAAAACTTATATAAAATTTAACTAATGAATCTTTTTTATTGTTTTTTATATTGATGAGAAGACTAACATTTTGATAATATGTATATTTGATTTATATACATTTATTTACAAAATAATCAATAATATTAGTATAAAAAATTATATTTTAATTATTAGGTGGTTATTCTAAAATATTATTTTACTTATTTCATTTGAAAGAAATTAATTTTAAAATGTTTTAAAAAATTAATAACAAATTGTTGATGTTATGTGTGTAAACTCATAGTTAATTTTCAATAAAACCAACAATCTTAATTTATTTTTTATATATTATGACCATACTCAATGGATCGAGTGTGCATCATAAATAAAAAAAATATTTTTAAAAAAATCTTAAATTGTAAGAAATATAATAAACTATAATAAAAACAACCATAAAACTAATTCCAATAAATTTTGATTATATAAAAAATAAGCAAATAAAACACATGAATTCTATTTTTGATTAATTAATTATTTATTCAAAAATCTATAAACTGAAAAAATAAATTATATTTGTTAATAAGTAAAATTACATAAAAAAAAAGAAGAATAAAAAACTAATTTGAAGAGAAATTTCATAAGAAATGAAAAATTGAAGAGATCAATTTTAAACAATAAGAGTAATACAATTCGATATATATATTTATGAAAAAAAAATCCAAAAAAAAATGCATGAAAAAAACAAAAGCAAAAAAAAAAAAAAAAAAAAAAGGCAAATCTTGTCCATCTAGGGACTAAATTTTTTTTTAAAAAAAAAACATCATAGATCAAAATAAAAAATAGTGTAAATTTTGTATATGATTGTACAAAAACACCAACAAAAAATCACGAAAATGCTAGTCTTAAAAAAACCACAAAATAAATAGTGATTTATGAGAGAATAAATAAGGAATAAATAGTAAAAAAAAAAACCTATTCTTTTAGTTGTTTTAGTCCATGATGGATTAGTTTGAAATTATGTGGGTCTTTAGGATGGATGGCACAAGAACTTTAACAAAAAAATAATAATAATAAATAAATAAAAACAAAAACAAAAAAGAGCTGCACCTAGCATGGACTATCTTGGGCTTGGAAGATGGGGTGCCGGAAGCCCTTGCAAACAATACCTAAAATAACTTCCCAACCTCTTAAAACACAAATCTAACTATTTAACCTTTTTTTTTATGAAATTTTAATTATTAATTCTAAAAATTAAAATTTAAATATCTTCCAATTTTTGATAGTAAAATTGTCTAATTTTGATGCCTTAATTGGTGTTATAGCAAATTTCATCGAATCAATTTTTTTGTTTTCTTTCTCTTTATTCTCTTTCTGTGTCATTTTTTTTTTTTTTCATATTTTACGATTCTTTTCTTTTATATTTTTTACTTTGGAGTTCTTCATATTAACTCACAATGGCCTAGATCTAAAAGTATGTGTGTGAGGGAATAAAATCACAAAAATACATCTCATGCTTTCATACACAGTTGTTAATTTTGTTCCATTATGTTCTTAAGGGAATAGTTGGAATATCTAGTATCACCTAGAAAAATACGACAGAATAAAACAAATTCCATCTCGCTCGAAATCTTGACTAATCTCGGATATCTCAACCAAATACTAGTCAAGATGTTTCGGTAATATTCCATTCCTTTCGTTCTGGACCAAAACATGACAAATTTAAAATTTTATTGGTTTTTATCATAACTAAAAAAAAAAAACAAATTCTAAAATATCCATCATATGTTATCAAAATTTCTAATCTTATGTACTACACACAAAATTAAATGTGCTTTTAAAGAGAATAATTCAGAAATTATAAAATAAAAAATAAAAAAAAATTCAACTTTGATCAAGAGACTAACTTGTGATTCTTAAGAATTGAAAGACTAAGTTACAAAATCATAACAAATGCAAGAGCTAAATTATAATTTACTTACTTGTTTTTTTGTCACAACTCTTCGTTTCCTCTAATATACAATATATATGTTCATGAGTAAATAATTATACAGCATAAAAGTATTGATATGCTCTTTATGAAATTGCAAGCATTTCTAATTTTATTTCTAATTAAACAATGTTTTTTGAATCTTACAACTTGGCCTGTAATATATATATATATATATATATATATATATATATATATATATATATATATATATATATATATATATATATATTTGGCATTTTGTTTGTGTTGAACCCATGCTAATTTTTTTTAAAGGAATGTTATAAACATTGAAATTTATTTTTTAAATAGTTGACATTTTGTTTGTATTTTACTATTTGAAACTAATTTATCTTTGGATTTGAATTGAAAGTTATGTATCTTAAAATATTCATTTGAATTATTATTTTTTTATATTATATATAATAAGATTTTAAAACGAAACTCCGAAATACATGTACTTTTGTATCAAAATATCTTATATCAATTAAAAAGGAAAAAAAAAAAAACATAAACCCTTTGTGGTGTACCTCCTTTCTAACTGAACAAAATATAGGTTCAAAATTGTTATAAAAGACAGATATTTGTGTCTACAACAAAACGTGTTTTTTTATTGCTTTTGTACATGTCGTTATCATTTTCTGACCAACTTTTTATTACAGAACATAAACCAAACAAACGCTATCTTATAAAACCCTCGTGTTTTTCCAACTTTTTTTTTTTTTTTTTAACTCATATATTCAAGAATAGATTTTTTATTACATTGGATGCAAAAGTCTCTTTCATCTAAGCGTGGCAACTCCAGCGGGCCCTGCTACTGATTCAACTTCCTAGGTTCATCAGTCCGTCAGGTCGCCATTACAGCAAAGATTGCTTTGTTTTTTCGTTGCTCGCTTTAGGGTACCATTAGGAATATCGTCCTTCTTGCTCTTAGGCAACTTGTCGCCACTGCATATCATCTCCCAATGTCTCATGATAGATTGAAAAGAGGTTAACATTCCGTTTGCATTAAGCTAAAAAGGTGGAAATGAATTGCTGATCCTATTTCTAGTGGGAATATGCTGAAGCAATCGGAAAATAATTTAAAGTTTTCAATTCATTTGTTTGAGTAATAACTTCTGTTTGGGTAAACCTCAAAAAAATCTCCAATCTATTGAAGTATTTTTTATTCGATCTCCAGTCTATTGAATTATATTTTATTACATCTCCAATATATCAATAGATTCACAATCAGATTCTCCTATTAGTTTTATTAAAAAATTTGACACTAAAACCCTGAATGTTTTTTTTTTTTTTAAACCAATGTTTTTTTTTTTTTTTTAAATTCCTAGTTTGCATCCCATGATGGATTACATTATAAAATAAAGCCTGAATGTTATATATATAAGCAATTTGTGCACCGTATCTTTTACTGTAGACGGTCACCAATTTCATCGTGGATTACTCATCTACGCTATATATTTTCACTGTTTAGTCAAAAAATTTCAATTTGATCCTTGGTTTTAGGTATTTTTTTATTCAATCTAGAACTTTTATTTCTTTTTCATTCTGATCTTTGGATGTCCAAAAGAGAAACAAGCAAAGAGAAAGAGAGGAGAGATAGTGAGGAATAATGAGGTCTATTTTAACTATCTTTACAGTTAAAATTACCTTCAATTTGTTTGTTTTAAAAATTATAATTTATTTGTGGTAGTTACAAATAATAAAATAATTGAAGGAGACAGGCAGGGGTTCTACAAATTTTTAAGGTTTATCATTTTGATTTCAATTTTGATTTATTTTGTATGCATTAAAATGAGTTTTGAGGTTATAAAAGAGTTTATGGATCTTATTTCTGTGAAATTGAATTTGGGTTGAAAGTGTGAGAAATCACAAAAAATCCATTTTTTATACAAGTTTTTCAGTCATCAAGAGCTAGCTGGAAATTGTAGACGGGCAACATGCCGTCTACTGTGCCTGAAGCGGAATACATGTCATCCGTCCTCTAATTTGTTTTTTTTTTTAAAAAAAAAAAAACTTTGCCTTACACGGACCTGTGCTTTGGCTGTTTTTTTTTTTCAATAATTTATTTTAATATTTTTATTGAGAATTTTTAGGCAAAATTTATGAAAGATTGGATGTTATTATTATTTTTTTTCCCATACACTCTCGCGGAAATGACATATATATATATATATATATATATATATATATATATATATATATATATTGTTTAAAATTTATTATTTTAATTTCTTATTTCTTATGAAAATTTTCATCCGATGAATTTTTTATTTTTATTTATTATAAAATTTAATTTTTTTATCAATCTGATTTATTTTCTCTATATATAGATTTTGGAATTTTTTTTAGTACATGATTTTTTTTTAAAGTATATAATTTATATCATGGATTCTTAAAATTTTTAAATGATGGTCACATGGTTATAAATATGTGTTCAAGGTAAAGATTAAGAGTATATTTTAGATAATTTTTATCTAAATCTTTTTAATATATATATATATTTGGTTTGTACTTCACACTCTCAATCCACTATGTATAGTCATGATGTATAAAAAATATTAAATCATCAACTTTATTTAAAAAAATTAACTATACATCTATACACATAACACCAACCATTTGCTTTTATTTTATTTTTTAATTTCATAAAACTAATTTCTTTGAAATAAAATAATTAAAATAATATGTAGAAAAAGCCATCAAATGATTCAAATACAGCTTTTTATGCTAATGTGTATTATTGATTATTATGTGAATAGATATCAAATGTATATAATTCCAAAAAATAAATTTTCTCATCAGCATTAAATAAAAAAAATTCTTTTTTGATAAAATATTATGAAAAATATATTTTGATGGCATGTTTTTTAATTTTGGATTAAATGTTTTAGTTATAGTATTACAATTTTTTTATTTGAGAATCATTGCATATAAAGTGAAAAAACGAATCATGTTTTTTTGAGTTGAAAAAAAATAAAAAATACAAAGAATAATTAATAAGATACAAGATTTTGATTAAAAAAACATATAAATTTTAGCTTTTTTTTTTTTAATCTTTGATTCGACATATTTTGATAGACCTACAACATGGCCTTAATTATCAAACTAGAATAATTTTGTTCTGTCCAACTCATAGCATAATGTGGATAATTAACTTGTATAATCTATTTTATCATGTGATGGGGGAATTTTAGTGAAAAAAATGGAAATCATTTAATTGTCACATGACTAGTTAATAGTTTTGTTAACTATTACTAATGGAAGGATCTAATTGAGAATTCGTTAATATATTGAATACTTAATTGAGATGAAAAACGGATCGAGTATCCGATAATCGAGATTGTCCACGTAGATCGGAGACTTATATATATATATATATATATATATATATATGTTTACCCTTTTTGGTTTTATTTATCAATGTATTCAAGTTGTAATTATTGTAATTTTTTCTTTTCTCTAATGTATGACTAGTACACCAGAACTATGAAGGGTATACTGCATCTAATAAATACACTACATCAGCACTATACAGAGCAAATTATAAGTTAATCCCTTTAGTTTTAAGAAATAAATTAATTAGTCCCTCTCATTTCAAAAATTATTATTTATTTTTTTTAACAAGTGATGACTATGTTTAATTTAATATTATTTTATTTAACAAAATTTCTTATTTTCTCATCAACCTTTCCATTATTTTTTCATATTTTTTTACTTTATATATTTGTTAAAAGGGTAAAAAAGAACTAAATTACAAGTAGATTTCAAATTATAGAGACTAAATAATCAGTTTTTTTTTAAAAAAAAATTCATTCATTCATTCGTCAAAACAAGAGGGACTAATTTATGATTCACTCACACAATACCAAAAGTGTGTTCTTTTACCCTTTCTAAATTAAAAGATCCTAAATTTGATTTGAGGCTATGAATTCCCCTAAATCCCCACCACCACCGCCTTAATTAAGCACAGCTGCCAAAGGGAATATTGTAGGCAATTTGGAAGAAAGAAAAGCAAGAAGCAAGCACATGAACATTCAACATGTGGAAGGACAAAAGAAAAGATTTGATTGCTTAAACAAAATTAGATTCCTAACCCATAAGCAAAGATATGAATAACTTTGTAAGTCCAATTACAAAGTATTAATCTTAGCAAAATAGATAGAAACCACAATATTCTAACTAATTAAGCCCTATTTCTTATGGCTTCCCATGACATAAAGTTTGGTAAAGGGATGACCATCCACTTCATTCACAAGTTAACCAATCAATAATCATCTTCTCAAGTACAAAAGCAGCAAAATCCCAGCAAACTTCAACCATATAAAGTTTGTTTTGCACTTGAACAAAGAAGCTGCTGACGACCCAACAGATCTGCAAATACCCTCCAAAAAAGGAGTTCGACGTTAGAGTGTTAAACTTGATGTCTTGTCCACATATACATATATATATGTTCACTTTCACCCTTTATTTATTTATTTATTATCCAAAGAAGAAAAGAAAAGTAACGTGTGAAGGAGAACATATATCCCATTTTAAAAGAAAAGATAGATAGATAGAAGAGCATACCCAGGTGCACCATAGTTACATTTTCCATGACCTGCACAATAAAATGGAGTAGATTAGTACGGTAATCTTCTTGGTCCCAATCGAATTGGTAGGAGAGATTACTAGATTCTTGCAGTGTAGTGCTCCTCACCCACATCTAAGTGGTAAACTTTCTATGGATCCCACTTCAATTTGAGTAAGAAGTGATGCAGGAGGAGTATCTAATCATTTCTGGCGAGTTGAACGATTAAGTAATCTTCAAAAAAGTAAAGGAAAAAAAAAGACAAAAAAAAAAATCAGATTTTCCTATGACACTACTACAAGTCCTATTTCAAAATGGACTGCAATATTCCCATTTTTCCAAATATCATTCTCATCGAGACTAGTAAAAAAGCAAAGCTGATATTTGATGCATAAATTTGAAGTTCCGAATTAAGGGAATTGAATTCTAACCCTATTCTTCTGTACGTCATCATGAAAAAGGAAGAACAACAAGCTAAAGCAAGAGAAAAGAATGTGAAGCCAAGAGAATTTCTTACTAGGGTCACTTCTAGTTACGGTGGCAGTTCCTCCAAAATTGCAAGCGATATCAGAATTCCCATTTTGTTGGTAATAGTTGTTGAAAGCATAGGAGGCATGAGAAACCAGAGTGTCAGGATCAAAACAGGCTCCACCCTCTTGGATTGGACTGCAATCTGCCATGCCTAGACCACAGGCCCAGTCTAATGCATTCTGCAAATCTATTTGAGAGACACCTGAAAGGGCCACACACCATGTTGTGCCACCAAGAAATGTTGTGTTGCCTTCTGGAGGTGACAATGTTGCGACTGGGATCACAGATTCTGCTTTCTCTTGCGTTGGACTCTTCATTGTCAGGACTAAAATGTTTAGGCAGAGAAACCCAACTGTCAGTAAAAAAAAAAAAGAAAAGCAATTGACAGAGTAAAGTTTTCATGATTGAATTCGAAATTTCTACCAAGGATCAACCATTAAGCATTATTTATTACAAAAATTACTATTTAATAGAAAAGAACGCAAGATGACCTTTTTTGTGGGATTCAGACCTTCTCATGTTTTCTTAGATTTTTTTTTTTTTGAGGGGGGGCGTTGTTTCGTAAAAATTACATCCATAAAGTGTTGATAAAAATTAGCGATTCGATAGTATAATATAGAGGAAAAAAGAAAAAGAAAGCAAAATTGTTTTAATATACTACATTAATCAATAAATGTTCCTACAGCATCAACTAAGACACTTGAGAAGCAAAGTTTCTTCTCAATGTCCTTTTTGCTTGTTTCCTTTAATTTCTATTTAATGCATGTTATTCCTAGGCATCTCCCTCTCACAGTAACGTAATCACACACGATTCTCAAGGAAGCTGGTGGGTTTCCTTGGAAGGTAGAGGGTTTTAAAACACATTTGACTAGATTTAAAATGCCGTACATAAAATTCAATAATAATCTTTCTGGGATGTAATAAATGTAGAAATAAATAAATAAATATCTTTGTCAGTTTTATAGAAATTTAACCTTCAAGTGCTGATTAAAAGTGCAAATTTAATTAGTGAGTTAGCTAAGTACATTGCTTCAAACAGTAATTTTGGATTTGACCGCAAGAGACAACTCTAATTAATGGATAGACAGGCGCCATTGCTGTCATTAGCATTTCACCACCAGCCAAAAAAAAAAAAAGGGGGGGGGGGGGGGGGGAATCTGAGAGTGAAAATAATAATCTATAATTAGGTATAAACAAACAGTAAAACTTCAAATTAAGCCGACGTCCTGCTTGCTGCCACCTTCTTTTCCTTACAAAAAAAAGAAAAAAAAAAAAGAAAGAAAAAACACCAGTTCTTGCTCAAGAAACCTTGACCATAGAAATGAAGAACAGAGAAGAAATATCTCAGAAAAATTATACTAAAACAGTACATTTATATCAAGTTATTACCAAGAAGAGATAAGATATATGCTAGCTAGTTCCAATCTACAACATAGAAGCCATGATTGATTTCAACACAAACAAAAAACATATCAACAACTAACAAACAAAACCAAGGCAAAGATGTAAACCAGGAAAGAAAACATACCTAGATAACAATGCAGCAACAAAATACATGGCAAAACCAATACTTTGTTTCTCATTGTAACTTTTTTAAGCCTTAATGACCCCTCTCAACTGACAACACAAACTCTCTCTGTCTCTCTGTCTCTCTCTCTCTCTCTCTAACTTCACTCACTCACACACACACACAAACACACACAGATGTAACTCAGTTTTAATGGGAGTAATATTTGTACTAACATAGAAGTCTTATTAATATTGCTAAGAGAGTTTAAGGGAATCCAGCAGTTTCTTCAAGGGAAATTATGTCTTTTCTCTTTTTTGGGCTTTAACGCAGCAGCGTGATGTAGTAAATGGTTCATTGTCTGAAGTACTTGCCTGCCTTGACAGTCCATATTTAGCCTTGTACAGGCCATGGAATACTAGTACGAAATTCAAACTTTCAAATCCATAAAGAAAAATTTTATTTTGCCCCTGAGGTTTGGAGGGCTTTCGATTGATGACACCTTGAATTTTAGAAATATTTCAATCAAAAACCCATCCTTCAATAGTATTAAATTTATAAAACTTGCTTTTCTGAAATAAAACAAAACAAAAATCTTATAAATACTTAATTCTACAGCACATACGATCCAAAAACTAGTATAATCGACAAACCGAAGATTAACAAATTTATCATACAACCAATAATTATTAGTATGATTGTCTTGAAATTAAAATTTAACTAGAAAAAAAAATCAATCATGATTTAAACAAAAATATGGTTTACAAATACTATCTTTTATACAAGCGCATGATTTTTCTTTTTCTTTTCGTTTTTTTTTTTAATATGAAAAGGCGATATTAAAATATAATAACTTGATATTAGTTGGTTATGACTTTATTAAAATATACAAGATTTATAATTTTATTTTTAAACATTTAAAAATTTAAAAATTTTAGAAAAAAGGAAATCAAGAAGAGAAAGATGCGATCCTCATTGACAATTAAACAAAAAAAAAAGGTATTAATATGCATGGTTGAGAAATGGGTGTTTGATTAAGATTTTTTGAAAAAACTTGAGAATATCAATTAAGAAACAAATAATGCCACAAGATCACTCCTTTTAGTTCACCAGATGTAGATGAATGAAAAGAAAGAATTGAAGATTTCATAAAAGTTATAATTGATAAAAATAAAAGTTTAGGGTCGACCAAAGGTTCAATTTCTATTATTAACGAATAATTATTTATAATTATTCTTTAGTGGCAATATATTTAGGTTGATTTGGTTTATAAAACAGTTTAGTAATCGATTAAAATTTAAATATATTATACTACTAGTTTAAATTAAAAAATAATAAATTTAATTTTAATTAATGCGAAATTCAACTAAAAACACCAATTACTAGTAAATATAAAAAGCAAAAATAAATAAATAAGAGTTTTGGGGAGAAATCGAGAAACTCCCACAACGTACGGGGAGACAAATAAAAATTTGCTGTAAAATAAAATATGCATATAGAATGAATCTTTAAAGCAAGTCCTGCAACATAAAGCATTTTAGGGTCAGTCTTTTGCAAGTTATCACGCCATATCCTCTCAGCTCAAGTTATCACGGATTCTTTTGATCTCTCACAATGCGATTTTGGTGTCACCATGAAACAAAAGCGAAAAGCAAAGGTTACAAGAGTGACAAAAGAGTATCCCAACTATTTTTAACATTGTAAAGGTTTTTTTTATTATTATTATTCTTTCCTTTATTTTTATCGTTTTTTTTTATTTTTTTTAATTTATCTTTCTACATTTAATTTCTTTTATAACCTCGTCATTCTAATAATTTTTTAGCCTACGATATTAAATTGTACTATTAGTCTCATAAAATTACAATAAATGTCAACCTCGTTTTATTTTATTTTAATCTCATATTTTACTCTTTAAAAATTTGAAAGAAAGTGAAGATGTATCCGATTATTTTTCCTAAAAAAAATAAGGATATGTTATGAAAAAAAATGATAACAATAACAAAATTGAAGAGAAAAATGATGGAAAAATAATTTTACTATGAAATAAAGAGAATATAAGAAATAACAACTTCAAACAATTCTCTCAATTTCTACAAAATACTTATCCACAAACTAATGAACAATCAAACATATTTATAGGCTCCAAGATTAAGATGAGAATTACAAGCTAGGAACTATGAACCATTAAAAGCACATAAATTGTTAAATCAATTGTATCACCCTTTCAATTTTTCATATTGAATAGTGAATTGAATCACATTAAGAATTATGAGTATTGAGAATACGAAAAAAGTATGAATATTTATATGGACATTCATTATTTCATAACACTCTTCCTTAAATATCTATCATTCTAGGAACATGTCTTGTTAAAATCTTACTAGGAAAAAAACCTAGTGAAAAAAAATCCTAGTGAAGAAAAAAAATACAATATTCCTTGTACACATTAATCTCAATGTTGCGCTCCCCTTGTTGAAAACATCATTTAAGATCTTTAAGACGATGCATCTCGGTCTTATGAACTATTTTCTCAAAAGTTGTGGTAGGTAATGTCTTAGCGAATAAGTCCATTAGATTGTCACTTTAATGTATTCTTTCTTTAATTGAATTATGCAAACAAAATTATCTTCATATAATATTGTTGAAACTTCTTTGTTGGTAGATAAACTGCATATCTTTTGGATATGATGAATCGTTGATCTTAGCCAAACACATTCTCGACTTGCCTTATGAATTTGTATTTATACATGATTTGAATATCTAGCGACTATAGTTTGCTTCATAGAACATCATGATATAGTTGTATTACAAAGTGTAAATATATAACCCGTTTGTGATCAAGTTTTATATGGATTAGATAAATAACCTACATTTACATAGCCAATTAAAAATAACTTTGATTTATTTGAATAAAATAAATATCATATTAATTTTTTGTTGGAGCTAACATTGGAAATGTTTAATTCAATTCCAATGGCTCTATATTAGAGTAGAACCGACTTACTAATAAATTTATAGAAAATGCTATATCGGATCGAGTATTATTAGCAAGATATATCAATGTATGAGTGGCACTAATATATGATACTTTAGGACCAAGTAGTTATTTGTTATCTTCTTGAAATAAAAAACGATCTTTTTGAATATTAAGTGAACGAACTACCACTAAGCTAGTCAATGGATAATCTTTATATAGAATCATCGTAGAACTTTTTCTATATAAATCGACTAATGAATAAAAATCTCATTCTCTAAGTGTTTGAACTGCAGGTTGAGATAATTTTTTTCAAGGTATTTCATATCAAATTCTCTTTTTAAATAACTTTTGGCACTTAATATCTCTTCGGGAGTTCCAATAATATTTAATTCATTAACATATTCAATAATTATCATAAATTTCTTTTCAAATTTCTTTACAAATACATGAACAAATATGATTATTTTTATAACCTTATTTCAATAAATATTTATTGAAGCGATTATACCATATGCATACAAGTTAGTAATAAAGAGTAGGTATTGAAAAATAAAAGAATAAATATAAAAAGTATAGTATAAATTGAATTTCTAAAAACTAAAATAATAAAAAAAATACTAAAATAATTCGATAGAGATCTCTATAATTTAATTGAATATATTTTCTAGAAATATGTATACATGCTTTAGGCATTTTAAGCCCTTCTAGGAGTTTTATATAAATATCATTTTCAACTAAACAATAGGTCGTGATCATATTTATTAAATGCATACATATAAATTTTTCTATATATTTTTTCGGGATAACGAGATAACGAAATATAATTACATTCATTATAAAAGAATGTGTCTCATCATAGTCAATGTCGGGTTCTTGCGAAAACTATTGCGTTACAAGTCTTACTTTGTATCTCACAATCTTATCTTTCTTATTTTATTTTTATACAAACACCCATTTGTATCTCATCGGCTTAACATCTTCGGGTGTTTTGACTATGGGTTCAAAAACTACTTGTTTATAAGAGCATATAATTATGTCTTGATTGCTCTTTTCATTTAGGATAATCATCTCTATATCAAGTTTTTTAATAAATTTAGGCTTAGGATCTTTATTTTCGTTTAAAATATTAATTACAATATTATATTAAAAAATTTTATCAATAAATATTTCTTTTTGGTCTTATTTTCTTCTAGTATTGACATAATTTATTAAAGTTTCTTGATTTTTCTCAAGCATTTGGACTTCTTCTAGAAGTTTATTATCGAAATATCTTGGACCATTTTATGAATATTTGCATTCTTTATATTTTCATCTTGATTATTTGTCTTTTTCTTTTAAAGATTTTTGTCTTTAGAATCGATAGGTCTTTTAGGTTCCGGGCATGCTTTAGACTCATTTGCTATAACATTAATAGATTGTCCTTCTAGAATATCAATTCTAATAGGAGCATTTTCGGTGGGGACATGCATTTTAGTTGCTTTTTTTGTATTTGAGAATACATTTGGCAATTGGTTTGTAATACTTTGTAAAATAATTATCTTCCGAACTTCTAGTTCATATTATTTTATATAAAGATCAAGATGATATAAAGATGGAGTATTCCATATATTCTCTTTTTCTAATATTTTTAACTATTTATTTTGCTTATTCTCTCTCCCTAATGTTGAAAAACTCTGTTTCATCAAAATAATAGTAAGTAAATCAAGCTCGTAAAAATATCTTTTATTCATGGTTCAAGATATTTAATTATCAAAGAGGATTCAAATCCAATATATATTTTCAATCTTCTTTAAATGCCCATTTTAGTTTGTTATGGATGAGTAATATGGATATATACTACACGACCAAAAATTCTTAAATGAGAAATATTTGGTTCATGACCACAAACAAATTAAAAAGGGGAGAATTTCGATAACTCATGAGTCCGATGCGAATAAGTGTTGTTGCATGTAAGATTGCATGTCCCTAAACATAAATAGAAATTTTTATTTTTAAATAATGATTTAGCTATTAATTGGAGCTTTTTGATAAATGATTTTGCTAAACCTTTCGAGTATGAATATAAGCAACAAGATGTTCGATTTTTATTCCAATAGCCA